GTGCAGCTACCTTCTTACTACCCTAAACCCTAAACCCTGAACCCTAAACCCTAAACCCTAAACCCTAAACCTGTAATCACTAAAGCCCAATTCAAATCCTAAAAGCCCCCGAGTCTTCGCCTCCACGGGCCCTACAAGGCAAAACCCGAAGCCCGAATCCTTAGAACTCCCAAGTCGAATATAGGGGCCTTCATAATTAGACTAGGGTTTTGGAGTTTAGGGTTTAGGGTTTAGGGTTTAGGGTTTGTGGGCCTTAATAATTAGACTAGGGTTTTGGGGGTTCCTTTGAAAGGGTTCCTCTAAGGGATTCTAAAAAGGTTTAGGAATGTCGGGGCCTTAATAATTAGACTAGGGTTTCATAGGGTTCCCTTCAAAGGGTTCCTTTAAGGGATACTATAAAGGCTACTATAAGGTTTTGCTTGAGGTTTAGAGGCCTTAACAATTAGAATAGGGCTTTTGGGGGTATATTATACTGTAACTATAATAAGGAACCCCCAAAACCCTATGCTGATTATTCAGGCCCCTACACTACACCCGCTTCATGGCATGGACACAGAAGGTTCGGGTGCAAGCTTGATGGCATGCTAGAGACGTCAAATTTCTGCTATTCCGGCTGTGTAGATCTGGCGATAGGTAGTGGCAATTTATAGGAGGAGCCTCATTCATCAGAAACAAGCATCCTTCTTAATGCCTAAAACAGCATCCTAAGCTAGATTCGAAGCCTGCATTGGTTGCTGGGTTTGAGTGCCGTTAAGCCTGGCATTACATGCCTACATTCATGCATATACGCATACATGCCTGCATGCACGAAAAATGTGTAAAGATCTGACATATGATGAATGTTCCCCGTAACGTCTAGTGACCATTGGAACGTGAAGGTTTGCTACTGTAGAGGCCTTAATAATTGGACTAGGGTGTTGGGGTTCCTTTGAAGGGTTCCTTTTGAGGGATACTATAGGGGCTACTATAAGGGTTTAGGGTTTAGGGGCCTCAACAATTAGAATGGGGTTTTGGGGGTATTTTATACTATACTTATATTAAGGAACCCCCAAGTCAGTGTTGGTAAATATTTAGGCCCCTACATTACCAAATCCAACATGATTCTGCTGCTTCACCGGAAGAGCATGGCACATCGTGAGAACCCCATGCACATGCCTGGCAAAGGGAGATGAAGCCCATGAAGCACTGGCACACCTGGATAGAGACGGTTTAGGGTTTAGGGTTTAGGGCTTAGGGTTTAGGGTTGAGGGTTTAGGGTTTTAGGGTTTAAGGCACACCCGGATAGAGACGTTACGCATACAACCGGCGCAGCTATGCTAGGAGATGGATCTCGCCCACCCACAAGATCCTTCGAACAAGCATGCTGCGCCTGAAGGGTGGGTTCATTCGGAGGCCGCGCTAAGTGGACGCAACGATGGCGAGAACTGACCCTCTGGTTTTAACTGCAGCATACTAGCCTAAACCCTAAACCCTAAACTCCAAACCCTAAACCCTAAACTGAGCTTCAGGACCTTTGCAGAGCCTCTGGAAAGCCGACAAGAGAGCCCAAGCTCCAACACCGTACGAAGAACAGCGACATTGTCGCGGGAAGTCAACAAAAAGAAAGAGACAAAGGGACAGAGAGACAGGGAGAGAGAGAGAAGGGAGCAACAGAACCAAACAAGGAACGGGAGGTAGTGCCCTAGAAGGTTTCCTGCAAGCGTTGCTACACAGGTTACTAAAGAGTTACTACAAGAGCTTCTGCAAGGTTTACTGCTGAAAAAGGAAACTGTGCAAAAGCAACGCAGCCCTGCCACCATCTACACAAAATTGCCTAAGATCCCGACGGCACAGATTAAACTCCAACCCCTAAACTTGAACCATAAACCCGAAACTCTGCAAAGACTAGTGACGACAAGAACCAAACGGTCCGTCCATGCCCACCCGAAGTTGGCCTGGACATCGGCCGCTGAGCGAACGCCGTGCAGGTGGCCTCCGGTATTTTTCGTTTACGATGGTCGCCCTTTGGGAACACCGACTAACTATAAAAAATAACAAACGTCATACATACATACATATAGGTGTGTGAGTTCTCCGAAAACAATATAATCAAATATCGGCCCTGAGGAGTAATGCTCTCTGCGTGGAATAAGGGATCCTTAGTTTGTTCGGGCTCACAGGTTAAACAATCACAAAGGCTAAACCCTAAACCCTAAACCCCCAACCCTAAACCCTAAATCCTAAACCCTAAACCCCAAACCCCAACCCTAGCCCTGAATTTTACGCAAACAACTCCCAGAGTCCCCCATGGAAACAAGCCTCGGCGACCTCTTGAGGCTCCGTCGTTCTTTAAGGCTCTCTGTTCAGAGCTCTGTCAAGGTCTTTACGGAGGGTCTCTACAAGGTCTCCTTCAAGGCTCCTTTCTGAAGTTTAGGGTGCAAGGATCCAGCCCAAGCCATATAACGGTTTGGGGTTTAGGGCTTCAGGGTTTATGGTTTAGTAGCATCGCTCCTTCCTTCCTGATCCCCATAAATAAATAGAAGAGCTGTCAAAACGGTCATACCAAACCCCGACTGCATGTGACCGCTCGCGGTGTGCTCGGGCGAGGTCGCTATAATTTAGCCAGTGGTACTAGTGGCTATAAAAGTAAATACCTCCCTCGAGGAATTTGCATAGGAACGCCTGAAGAAGAACCCTTGCAGAACCCTCTCGATCCTTTCTAGAACCCCTTTAAGCACTCGTAATTAACCTAACTGATCTTCTTGACTCCTTGCCCGCTTTGAAGGAACCCTCATCGCAACCTGGCCCCAACCCCTAACCCCAAGCCCCTGAACCCTAAACCCCTAAACCCTAAACCCCTAAACCCTAAACCCTAGCCCTGAATTTTAAGCAAACAACTCCCAGAGACCCTAAACCCTGAAGCATGGATCTGGCGGTACCGCAACGAGAGGGCGGGTTTTTTGTTGGAGCCTTGCTTCTCGTCGAGCGGCCGGCACAGGTTGCGAGGACCCACAAGAAGACATCAATCCATCTCAGCTGTGGTTTGCTGTGGAATGTGCTCGTCGAAGGGAAGCCGAGAGAAAGAGGAAAGCCCCGTTCTGGGGGGATTTGGGGGAGTGGACCCTACAACCCTAGTTGAGAAAAGTTGGGGTAGTTGGACCGCGGCTACATACTGGCGCAAGCACGCGACAAGTAGGTGCGCCCCCATTCCTAAAGAGAAGCGCACCCACCGCACGCACACTGTATACACACCCTAGACCCTATACCCAAAACCCTAAACCCCAATTAAACCATAAACCCCAAGCCCTGAAGCTCAAACACCCTAAACCCTAAACACCCATAAGCCCAAAACCCTAAACACCCCAAACCCTAAACTTGGCCCTAAATGCCCGGAAACACCCTAAACCCCAAACGGTAACCCAAAACCCTAAACGCCCTAAACGCCCCAAGCCGCCGGTGCCTCGAGCTCCTCCAGGGAGGGGTTGTGCGCCATGGGCGAACCTGGAGCCGGACGAACCCATAGGCCCCATAGTAGTTCCTGTTTGGGGGTTCAGATTTAGAATTCGGGTTTAGGATTTAGGGTTTAGGGTTTAGGCGTGTAGGGCTTAGGGCTTAGGGCTTAGGGCTTAGGGTTTAAGGTTTAGGGTTTAGGGTTTAGGGGCTTGGGGGTTTAGGGTTAAGTTCCTTTTTGGGGTTCATATTTAGAATTCTATAAGGTAATCCCAAAAAGGAACTACTATGGGGCCTATGGGAAGCCCTAAGGAAAAGTTGCGCCTATAGATAGCTGCTATTTAGGGTTCAGGGGTTTAGGATTTAGGGTTTAGGGGTTTAGGGTTTGGAAGTTTAGGGTTTAGGGGTTTAGCGGTTTAGGGTTTAGCGGTTTAGGGTTTTGAAGTTTAGGGTTTAGAGGTTTCGGGTTCAGAGTCTAGGACTGTACACCCTAACACACGTAACGGCCTAAAGCGTAATCCCTACCCTAAATATAAACCACGCAAAAGAAACTGCAATGGAGCCTATAGGTAAGCCTTGAGAAATCTTGAGTTGGAGCTCGAAGAGGGTGTGGCGCAGCCGCCGCCGCCCTAAGCATATCGTGTTGCTTGCCTGATGCTCCATGGGTTCAGCATTTAGGGGTTTAGGGTTTAGGGTTTAGGGTTCAGGAGGTTCAGGATTTAATATGGGGGCCTTAATATTTACCTCTATTTTTTCGGGGGTTCCTTATTATAGTTATAGTATAGTGGGCCCCCAAACCCTTCTCTGATTATTAAGGCCCCTACGTTGGGGTTTAGGGTTCATTTAGGGTTTAGGGTTTAGGGTTCAGGATTTACGGGTAAAGGTAAATTTCGGTTCACGGAACATACCGGAGCCTCCAACAAGCAACGGCCCCGTGCGGATTTCTCTCCAAAAGCTCTTGGTTTGATCCGGGGCTTCGAGGGTGTCGGTTATAGACTTATAGAGTTTAGATGAATTCAGGGTTTAGGGCTGTAGAGTTTAGGGTTTAGAGTTACAGATTCTAGCATTTAGGATTCAGGGCCGTAGAGTTTAAGGTTTGGGGTTTAGGTTTTGGGGTTTTGAGGTGCTGTGTTAGGGCTTTGGGTTTAAAGGGCTGACGGAGAGCGAAACGGAGAGAGCGGATGTTTCAAACAACTTGATGGCTAGTGAAAGCTGCAAGCCAATGCCACCCGCCGCTAAAGTTTGCGGCATGCGACGCTTTCTCCCAAGTGCTGGCCTGGAAAAGACCGCGATGTTGCCCCCTAGTCGCCCTAAACCCTAAACCGCGATAAGCTGTAAAGCATAACTCCTAACCCTAAACAGTAAACCCTAACTCCTAAACCCTAAGCCCTCAAAGTACCTGGCTACCTGTTCCCAAACAATGGATGCGAGCTCCCTAAGGCTACATGCACCTCTATAGTTTGTACTTAGGCCTTCAAGTACCTAAACCCCGAAACCCCTAAACCCAAACCCCTAAAAGCATAAAAAACCCTAAACCCCTAAACCCCTAAACTCCTAAACCGCTAAACCCTAAACCCCTCAACCCTAAACCCCTAAACCCTACACCCCCAAACCCCTAAACCCTGAACCTCAAGGCCCAGGTATTGTCTGCATCGGCACAGGGCGCCCGAATGCCAAGAAGCCCTCAAGAGTTTAGGGTTGGGGGTTTGGGAGTTCAGGTTTTAGGACTTAGGGCTGTAGGGGTTTGTGGTTTCGGGGTTTAGGGTTTAGGAGTTTTGGATTTAGCGTTTAGAGGGACTTCATATTGTGAGGTTTAAGACATCTTGCTTATTTGCGTAGCATTGGACCCTTTGCCGAAGGGTCCTCAGTACATGTATAGTACAAAGCAGGGTTTCTATAGTGGGAGTTACTATTATGGATTGGATAAATGCTGCCCACATTGGAACTTAGGACCCTTTGGGTGGCTTAAGCTGGCATGGAATCATGGAAGGCCTTTTCCCCCTAAACCCTAACCCCTAAACCCTATTTCAGGGGTTCTTTTTTTCAGACTCCTAAAGCCTAAACCCTAAACCCTAAACCCTAAACCCGAAAGCCGCGGCAGCTGTGGCTCAAAGCCGAACATCCGGGTGGGAGCGGCCTGCCGCTTCCTCGCAGCCAAAGGCCTGACCTGGGTCTCGAGGGCTTTAGGGCCTAAACCCTCAACCCCAAAGGGTTTACGGTAGGGTTTAGGGTTTAGGGTTTAGGGTTTTAGGGTTTAGGGTTTAGGGTCGGGTTTAGGGTTTAGGGTTTTAGGGCCTAGACCCTAAAACCCTAAAGCCCAAAAGCCCTAAACCCCAAAGCCCTAAAACCCTAAATC